CTACCTTTAGGTCTGTGGATTCCAGAACCTCAGGCAACCTGTGACCTGGGTGTGGGGGGGCTGTGGGTGGCACTGGGCTCATCCCCACCACTTCCCACTTTTGATGTGCACGGTTTCCCACCTGGAGCATTATCACACGGGCACCGTGGAGGGAGCGCCCAAGTCCTAAGACTCGAGCCCATTGCTGGAGTGAGGAGGAGTCAAGAACTCACCAGAAAGCCTCCAGAAGTGTGCACAGGTTTCTTCGTGCTGGTTCCTCACTAAACACGGGAGAGCGTCCAGCCAGAACACCATCTCTGGCCCTGGCAGAACACATAATCTGCGCTGAGATAACCGTACTTTGAGATCGGTAGTCGAATGGATAGCCCAGGGTGACCCGCAGCCACTGCCCTGCCAGGAAGAGCTGGCGAGCATGCCGGAGAGACCCAGAGAAACTCGAGCGTGAGTCTTGGGCCAGCTGTGCTCCCACGCACGCACACTCATCCACCTAAGCTTCGGACAAAACAGTTGAACCCAGCAATCAGCCAACTTCAACCCGAGAATCTAGGGAAGGTTGACTGCCCACACCCTCCTGGCTACCCTATAGCGAGCGGCCTTTGAGCTGGATGTCTCAGCGGGGGAACAGAGAAGTGCAATTAAGGAATCGGGTTAACTCCGGGATCCAGCCGGCCGGCCGGCCGATTCCCCAACTCCGACAGCTCTCGAATTATACCAAATTTAGACTTTTAGCATTTCCATCACAGGAGGGTCGGCGTTAGGCATACACTCCACAAGTCTGAGAAAATTTTCATCATTCAACTTAAACTTGTACTCTACACGGACCACCCCTGCTTTCAGGGCCTCAGGAACCCATGTCTTATACATGTATTTTTTTATGACTTGACCAACCCTGTGTGTGCAACAGGAGAGGAAAAACAATTTCTTAGATGATATAACTATTTGTTTTATATATAAAAAAAAGATTTTTTTTCTTCCCTGCTCTGGCCTTTTGTCCCCTCTTCATTTTTCAAACATATATATTAGGAGACCAAAAAATTGATCAGGGGATTTGTAATTTCTAACAAGTCTACCCTTGCTCCATAGGCCGCAGGATGCTTGGACTCCCCTGAGGGTGCAGGAAATCAAGTCGGCTTATCCAGAGTCAATAACAATGTCATCAATACAAAAGTAATCATACCCAGTTGTACGATCCTTAATGGTTTTCAAAGTGCATCTACACTTTCGTGATTCACTCTCCCGCTCCAACCTGGAGAGAGCAGGACGCCAAGATGCATTTTTTCTGCAGCCTCTGGATTCTGAAAGGCTGGGCCTCCAATTTTCATTAGCCTGTGATGACAGGAAAGCTACCTTTCCTCCTAGTCCCTTCAGCTCCTACTCATCAGACAGCCGTCCTATCTACACAGGCAGCTCCTGTTAACCTCCTCCCCCACCCCCCACCCCCCGCAGAAAGAGACTAGAAGTGCTTCTTGTCATGTAATACTCAGCGGTAAAGAATGTTTTTAAATTGCCATTGTTATTGTTATCATCACTATTAATTATTGTTGAATATTGTCTGAGTTGTCATCTTGGCTGGATTCAGATTAGGATCCTCTGCTGGTGCTTCCTTGGGAAGCAGTGGTTTGTATTTTGGGTACTCAGTTCTTTAGAGTGCTTGCTGATTCTTGCCATTCCCATGCATCTCGGTGCCATTCCCATGCATCTCGGTGCCATTCCCATGCATCTCGGTGCCATTCCCATGCATCTCGGTGCCATTCCCAGTTAGGAAAGTTGGCAAGGCTGAGTGGTTGCCTAGAATAAAATCCCAGGGCCGCTGGTAGCAGCTGGGTCCCAAAACAGGTATACTCTACTCTCTTTTAAGATCCCTGCTGGCCAGAATACCCCTAGTTCTCCTCTGGGACCCTTGAGCTCCTCTGCCATTTTTCAGGTTGAGGACGGTGCCCTGATTCTCCCTACATCCTAGATTCCTGAAGCAAGGCTGGAAGCTTTGTGCAAGCAAGTTGAATTCTGCAGACTTTGTAGGTAGTTGCCAGATTCCACGTTTTGCACTGAGACACAGACAGAAACTTGGCTTGAGGACATGTGTTGCCAGCATGGACCCTGCAGAACTCTAAGCTCTGGCAATGGTTGGTTAGAAATTTAGAAACACTATGGTCCTAGCCTGGTGGGATGTCTGCAGGCCTGAGCTGAGGCTTGTCTCTCTGGGGTCCTTGGACTTTCTCTACCAAGCAGTATTCACAGCTTGAGGTGGTATTCAGAGACCCCTCTCTCTAAGAGAAAGCAAGGGGCAATTCCTGTAAGCAAGACTACAAAGCATGTCCCACTCCCCGGAAGCCCCCAGATGCCACTGTCCAGTCAGCCCTGTCTCGAGCATTTATTCTGATTCCAGATACTGGCATTACCACTGGCTGCTGTTGAGAGGCACTGGGACATTGTGTTTGAGATATCTTTGAACTGTCTCTCAGGAAGTCATATTCACCATCATCTGCCTACTTTCTCAGTGTTGGGGAGCTGTATGGAGGAGTCATTGGTGCAGAAAGCCATTGATCTTTTGAAAATGGAACAGAATCTCAACTTCACCAGCTCCATCAATACTCAGCCAAGACCTTTTCTGGAGATCTGATAGCCCCATAAACCTACCTGTTGAAATGGGGGATAAGCAAAAGTCTCTCTCTCTCTCTCTCTCTCTCTCTCTCTCTCTCTCTCTCTCTCACACACACACACACACACACACACACATACACACACCAAAAATTTATTGCTAGCCAGACTGATTTCAGTGCACGTAAAAGCACACTTCAAACCCATTTCTAACCTTATTTCCTTCTCTTTGATTTAATCATCTGCGTATGTGTGCACGTGCCTGCATATGTGTGTGTGTGTGTGTGTGTGTGTGTGTGTGTGTGTGTGTGTAATGTCAGAACTTAATACCCCCAAGCTCAGCTTTATGTTAGCTAACAGCCAAATTTGTCAAAGGGTGAAGCAGGAAAGGATCCTGGACTCAGGCTACATTTGTGACTGCTCTGGGAGAGGGGGCCCAGGCAGCAAAGCCAATGGGAAGTATATAAACCAAGACGCCTTTGACCAGGATCAAGGTGTGTGTGTGTGTGTGTGTGTGTGTGTGTGTGTGTGTGTGTGTGTGTGTGTGTGTGAAGAGAGCAGGTTTTTAATTTTACAAAAAAAAAAAGGAAGGAAAAAGAAAAGAAGGGAACAGAAGGGTGGATTGTGGAAAAAAGCAGATAAGTGAAAATGGTAATATTGTGTATTTCCAACAGGAGAGCATGAGTCCAGGGTCTTATTTGCGGTGTGGAATCCTGGTAGGCTGAGTTGGACCCAAAGGCTATGTTACATCCCCGGTATTCTTACCACGTAAGACAGTAGCTGCCCCAATACTCATCAAATCGAACTCACTTGAATAATTTTTCCCGGGACAGCTTCAGATAGCCCTGAGCAGCTTTCCCAGACTACGCCCAGGAATGAGAGAGGCAAAAAAGGACACCGCCCACCCGCTGAAAATGGGGTCTGCGAGGGAAGAGGAAGCCGCAAGAGTGCAACCTTGGACATCTTTTCGTTTTCCTTCACTGAAGACTCTCTAGCTCTGTCCCTGAATCCGCCGGGATTGAACATAAACCGCCTCCTTAGTAAGCAGGACAAACAACAGCCGTTCCCAGAAGAACACCCTCCCCTTCAAGAACACTCTGAATTGTAACATTCTTTGGGCAAAAAGGAAGTGAGGACATGCCAGCAACTACGGAGAAGTTCCAAACTTCAAGGAGAATGCATCACATCACGATAAATTATAAAATTAACGCTGAATTTTAAAATGTGTTTTTTTAAAAAAATAGAAATAAGATGATCTCGAGAACCAAAGACCTGGCAACTGGGGTAAGGAGAACACTAAGATGAGTTTAGCCTTGGGACTTTGTTTTAGGTCTTTCGCTGTTTGCGGAAGCTGGACTGAAAGCGCCGGTTGCCTAGTTCGGCCTAGGCCGACTCGGGGACTGGGGCGGTTGCGGCGTTCCTTGCCTGGGCGTTTAGTACTCCAAAGCCCGGAAGCCAGAAGTCTGAGAAAGGTTTCCAGGCATGACAGTCGGGCAAATCAGCCTTTCTACTACAGGTGAGTTGAAACAAGCCTGGGCTTCCGCTTCGGTTTTGGTGGTTCAGGCCAGGGGCTGGGGATATGGCACTATGGCATTAACTATTGCCTTGTTAGCTAGGCAAGAAGCTCAAGCGGGCAGCAAAGGTGAGGTGAACGTTTAGCTTGGGAAGAATCTGTGGTATTTGGGGGGTCTTGCATGGCGGGGCGGGGGAGCGGGGGTGTTTGTCTGTACTCCTACATGTGGCCTATTTCACCTTCCACTGGACCTGGGCTCCCGTGCAGATCAAATGATTGCAGGTCATGAGGGAGCAGAAGGGCTTGAAAACGTTTCAGATAGAACAAAATTCGCACCTGTAAGAGTAAAAGGAGCAGGACACCCTCCCCTGAAAGAACATTATTGGCACTTGACTCTCCCCAAATAGATTTAGAATTTCAGCGAGTTGAGTTTTTTGTTTTTGTTTTTCCCAGCCCATTCTTAGAAGATCAAGTCACCTCGAAACACCGACAAAATCAATCGAAAGCGGAGAGGAGGGAGGCGGAGAAGAATCTGCAAGTTTTAGATGGAAATCGTCTGTGGGTTCAATAAGCCCAGGCACCTCTAAGATTTGAGGCCCTAGGGCTGAAAAAACAAGGAGTCTTAGACAACCGCTTTAAAATTCAGTGGGATTCTTCCACACCCCTGAAGTTGTTCTGAAGGTTTAAGCAAGGCTGCTGGGGACAGTGGATTAGGCACCTGAGTATTCTCTCCAAGACAAAAAAGTGAGGTGAAAAATTCTCCAACAGTTGCCTCCCACCCGCCTCCAACGCCTTGTCCCAAACACCAAGAGAATTTCAGAGAAAACAAAGCCCCGGGAGGGTATGTTGAACTAAACGTTTATAAATTAAAGAAAAAAAATACAGCGAATAGAGCTTCCAAAATTCACAAATCTTTTAAAGATATCTCTAGTTGAGTGCACAGTGCCCTTAAAGAGGCGAAAAGCTGCGAGGCTGATGAGACAGATAGTCTCAGAAACAAGCAAGGCACAGAGGGTGTGGGGGTTGAAACAGAGGGATGGGAAAAAGTGGAGGAAGCTGTGGAAACACAGGCCAGAGATATTCACATTGAATACAAAAATAATCGTTCTTTGAATACAAACAACCGAAAAGTGCTACGAGTCTCAACCTCCTTTGAAAAAGTAGAAAGAAATAAAGACAGGCTTCTGAAAGGGGGCTTTCCCGGAGGCGGGCCTCTCTCTGGGGGTCCCAGGCACTCTCCCTTTGGGTGTGGCCTTGATCTTACAGAAAGGGAAAGTATAGGGTATCCCTGGCCAGCGCGCGCGGAGGAGAGGCTCCCTTTCTTACATTCGGCGTCCAGGAGGGTACCCCGCGAGGGGTGGAGTGGAGGTCCCCAAAATCAAACCCTTCGAGGTTCAAATCAACTCCTGGCCGGGAGCTGTCAGGATTCTGCACTCCTTTGTCACAAATGTAATTTCCAAAAATTAAAGAGACGTAGGTACAGATCGGTAACATGGATACCATGAACTAATGTGGCTTAGCGCACGAAGCACCTGGCCGACCCGAGATTTGAGGATTCGGGCTATGGGGTCTCCTGGAGTCCTCTCTGCTGTGGGCAAACACCATCCCTAGGCAGACACAATCCACATCCAACGTTGTGCTGATCATAAATAGCGTCCCGAGGCTTGCAGATAGGTGACGGGTGTGCAGAGTGCCAGGGGTCAAAAGGCGCATCTGTTCAAATCAGAATAAAGCCCCCTCTCTGGGCAGTCTCAGTTCCGCTGCCAGGTCACCCTGGGTAGGGGAGCTCCGGCAGGATTTCATTCTCCACCTGAGAACCCCTCCACCCCCCCAGAAGAGCTCGCTCGCACAGAGTACAGTCTCTACACCTGTCCGCGGCGGTGCAAACTGGGGCGCAGGAACCATTTGCTGCCTCGCCCCAAGCGGTTCACTGGGTACCAGCAGCGGCCGCGCAGGTGGACAGCGCCCAGCCCGGGAGGCAGTAGTAAGGGTAGTAGTAGGAGGGCTGCAGTGGCAGAAGAGAGGGGGGCCTCAACACCTCTCCCGGCAGATACTGTCTTTGGTCGTCACGCACCAGCACCTTTACGGCCACTTTCTTGGCGGCGGGCGCCGAGGCGAGTAGGTCTGCGGCCATCTGCCTGCGTTTGGTCTTGTAGCGACGGTTCTGAAACCAGATTTTGACCTGCGTCTCGGTGAGCTTCAGGGAAGCCGCTAGGTCTGCGCGCTCCGGTCCGGACAGGTAGCGCTGATGGTTAAATCGGCGTTCCAACTCGAAGACCTGGGCGTGCGAGAAGGCTGCCCTAGAGCGCTTCTTTCGAGGCTTGGGGGCTGCAGGCTCTTCCTCCTCCTCCATGCCGCCCGCCTGCCCGCCGCCAGCCCCGCTGCCCGGTGCACTGCACAAGCCAGGCACGCGTGCACCTCCGGGGCTGACACCATCGTCCTCAGCTCTTGGACTGTGGTCGCCTGCGGATTCCGGTAGGGAGAAAAAAAAAAAAGAACCTGTCAGACTCGCAGAGGGGAAGAGAGGTCTCAATCGCAGTGGATTCTCAGGGAGGACTGGAAAGGGAAACCCGCTTTGAGCCTACTGAAAGGGGAGGGGAAGTTCCAGAGGGTTCTGCTTCAGAACTCTGTCCCTTTCGCTTTTTAAATCTGTATCCCTTTTGGTGCATGCCAAGCGGTAGGGGAACAGTTCTCCCCGAGTTTTCCGGGCCCCAGATTCCCTGCAGTAATGTAGGATACTTCGCCTGAGAGTATCCACAAGCTGTTTTGCACTCAGTTCTGAATCTTGGCATTCTACATTACATTTCTGTTTCTCAGCTCCAGGCCGAACACCTCTGCACACTCACTCAAACATATCCGTTGGCTACACGGAAGAGGAAGATGGGGGGGGGGGCGCAGATCTTGAGGTCATAGGTATATAGAGTCTTCATTCCATAAGCCCAGAATTGCTGTCAGGGGTATGGCGACAGGGTCCAGCATCAAGGCCTGGGGTCCACTTACCTCCCTCGTCTTTGCAAGAAAATAAAGCAAGGAGTGGGTAGTGAGGACCCTGGTCTCTCCCTCATCTGAACCCCCTTTTCCAGCCTCTTCTGGGCTCCCTGCAGCGCACCAGCGGAGAGGTCAGAGATGTGACCCGCTTTGAGCCTCTGTGAGGCCTAACAGCAGAGTACACCCAATAGAGGCCAGCTGCGGGGCTTTCGATCAAGAAATGCACCCGCTAGCGGATCAACAGGCTTGACTCCCAGTGCCTCCTGGACGACCTGGCTTACACTCTCCACCATCTTCCTCCTTCAGGTAACTGCTTGTTTGGTTTTGTTTAGCTCCTACATGCTCAGCCGAAGGCTGCTCTATCAGTCCAGCGGTGAGGGAATTTAAACCGGCCCTTTCCAAAGACTCGTTATTCTTAGGCTGTGACAGGACCTGAAGTCATTAGCTCGGCTGGGCCAGGGAAAAAGCTACGGCCTGCCTTAGGTCTCTAGTCCCCTTTTGCTAAGTTTCGAGATTTTTTAATGGATGCAGCGGAGGCACTGCAGATGAACTCAAAGCTCTTAGTGCAGGTTGTAGGGGCACATGGTACCAAGACGCCCGACTCCAAGAAGCTCGGTTGCTTAAGACTTGCAGCAGTGAGCACCAACGTGCAGAACTTGGAGACTTGGCCAGAACTAAGTCCAACAGGGCACAGTGTTCCCACAGTAGGCCCACCCCGCCTTGGAGTTCTTGACCTCTTAACCCACCCCCTCAGCCCAGCCCTCCTTCCGGAGAAACCCCCCGCAGCTGACCTGAGACGCTGGCTGACATCTCGCTGTCGCTGCGGACCGGGGCTTCCTCCTCCAAGTCCTTGGCGGCATGCATCTCGCAGATAGGCTGGTCCAGGCCCAGGGTCACCCTGGTGCGGCCGGCTCCACTGGCTCCCGGAACGTCCTCGCAGCGCCTCCTGCCCTCGTTCTCCTCACTCAGAGCTGAATCCGAGTCCCAACCTCCGGGGCTTTCCGCGGTCTGCCCCACAGCTGTTCTGGTTCGGGTGGGAGACGCCAGCCGAGAGTCCTCGGCGCCCCCCAGTGCACCCGCGTCGGTATCCCCAAAGAGCCGCCAGCAGCAGACGGCGGGCGCCGCAGCCACCGCCACTTCTGTGCCCCGGGGTGCAGCGCGCCCCTCGGGCGCAGCCAGCACGCCGCGCTCCTCTTTCTTATTGAGGATCGCCTGGATGGAGAAGGGCGTCAAGGTGCTGGCGCCGCGCACAGCCATCTGCGCCACGGATCGGAGCCGGCAGCCGGACGGGCAGCTGGGTCGCGGGGACAGCTTCGAGCCTGACAGAGAGCGCTGGGCGACCGCAGCAGCGCGAGTGTGAGGGGCGCGCCAGGCCCCTGCAGCCCGCTCCTGCGCAGCTCAGCAGCCCCCGCCCCCCTCGGTCCCAAGATCCCGGCCGACCCTAACCCCCACCTAACAGGCCCACCTCCCCTGGACCCCCTCCCCTCCCCAAATCTAGCGCCAGACACTCTCTTCCCGCAGCGGGGCTAGGTTATCTCATCTCCCGTGGCCCTCGGGGGCCAGCCCGGGTCTGTCCCCGCGGGGAGGGCCGGTGAGAATTGTCAAGGGTCCGCTCGGAGTCTGCAGTCGCCTCCGGAGCGCCGCGGCGGCGCACCGCCCAAGTCACTTTTCTTTGCGCCTCTGTCTTCCCTGCCTGCAGGGCTTCGCTCCTGGCGGGTCCTCCCTCTTCCCCTCTGGGCCGGCTCTTCCGGAGCCCACCCCTCTGGCGCCCGCGGTGACAGCTGAGGCCCCTAAAATTGGAGACGAACGGGACACCTTTTTACCCTCTGCCCCGGTTTTATCTGTTTCTTCTCTTTCCTTCTCCTGGGTTCCACTGTACCCCCCCTCCCGTCAGAGTATCATTCCTCACCGCTGAGTGACAGCATCAGGCCACGCCCCTTCACTGGCTGTCCTGGGCTCTCCCGGCACTGGATTGGCTGGTTCCAACTGAGGCCGTTGACTTTAAGAGACACAGCTACGCACTTTGAGTAGCTGAAGACAGGGTCTGAGTTAACCCTTTCCCCCCTAAGCCTCGTTCTTTCAGCATCCTTCAGCAATAAGGAGGGACCCTCATCCCGAAACCTCCTTTCTCATTTCAGCTCATCTAGCCACCTACTCCAGAGCTTTTCTGGAACACCAGATACCAATGCCAGTCGAAATCTTCGGGAAAAACTCAGCGGAAAGCGAGTCCATATGTGTTGTGTAGTTTCTGTTCTCTAGGAAGAACCCCAGAGTCGAAGAACAAAATTCATCGTTTTTTTCACTTTTAACTTTCGCGGCTGTTTCTCTGCTAATACTCTTTTCCTGAAATAATCTGATAATTCAAATCACTCTAGTAAATATATTTCTTTCCTTACGTTTGATTGGAATGGATTTCTGTAGATGAATTAAAATGCTAGGTTAAAAAAATGTTAGTTAAGCCTCAAGACAAGCGAAGAATTGGAAGCACCTGGGGAAAGTTTCTGGAGCTGGGTGCCGGGCTCCCTGAGCAATCAACGCTGAATTTAACTGGACTTTGTTCAATGTTTTACATCAAGGAAAACATCAAAAGGCATTCAATGTGTTCTTTAAATATTCTGTTTCTTCTGTGTTGAGTAGAAATAGACAAGTTTTAAAGAGGCTATCTGATCTCGTGAGACCCAGAACTGATAATATTTAATGCCTTTAAAAACAAGAATCGTGTCCTTTTACTCCCTAGAAGGAAACAAATACAGAATACAAGTATTGTGGTTATGTCATAACATATGTTGACTATTTACATAACTTCGTTTTAATAAAAAATTTGTTCAAGTGACAGATTTCACTGTTGCATTAACTTGAGCAGAGCTTTAACAACATCCAACACACAAACTTGAACCACTGAATGCATTCAAATAATTGTGATGTTAATTTAATAAGCTGCGGAGATTGCTTCATTGGTGTCATTAAATTAAGGAACGCCTCCTGGAGCAGTTTCCTCAGGCTGGCTCTGCACAGCAGGAGAGAAGTCGTTGTAGCTATTCCAACTTGTTCGCTTGGGGAGGACAGTCAGAGCTTGTAGACATCAGTGATGCGTGATAGGTTGCCTATTTTCCTGCCCTATAAAGATGCTGCATGGGTACCTTGGGATGAAAGGTGGGGCTCCCTTAAAGAGGTAGGGCTCTTCATAGCTCTTCACAATTGTGTAAGTTTTGAGGAAAAGATGTAAATTTCTTGTTAGTGTCTCGAAAGTGTAACAGCCAAGCGATGGTCTTCAGGCCAGGAAAGGGACCCAACAAAATGCTTTTGAGGTTTCAAAATAAAGTCTTCCCCTCCCCAATGTTTTCATGTTTTATTAAAATTGATTTCCTCTTCTCTCTGCCCCATGCTGGGGTGTTGAGAATGTATGTAGCTATTTCTCTTTAGGGACCACTGGAGGACAAAGGGACATAGATTGCCAGAAAAAAAATGAGGTTAGGCAGGTGTAGAGTAGGTGTGCGCTTGCCAGTGGGCGTAGGACTCAGTGGGGGCAAGATTCAGTGAGTTCCGGACCTACTGACCGACAAGGATATCTGAGGGTTGGAGGACTGAGTGCGAGAGTTAAGTTTGGGGGGCCATATACTTATTTGAAGTAATGATCACTATTTATTAGCGGAAATAACCGGAAAGAAAAAAACAACCCAAACCACAAGTTGCTACAAGAGGTGGCAGGCGTTTTCAAAGCGTGCAGGAAAAGCCACTGTTGGGCGATTTTAGAAGCTGTCGGCTCTGATTGGGTTTGCATGAGAATAACGAAGTGATTTCAACCTGGGTCTCCAGGAGGGGTTGGGAGAAGGACGCTGGCAGAGGTTAACAGATTTTTAGGTTTAGCGAGTGATGGCTGCAGGCAGGGCCAAGAGGAGGGTGTTTGGAGGAAGATAAACACACGGGTTCTGAGCTACAAACCGAGGAAGCTCCTAAAAAGAACACGGTTTGGGAAGGGATTAAAAGGCATTGGGGGCTATGCGCCGAGATAGCCAGGAAGAACTGAAGTACCTTGAGTATATCCTGAGTCAAGGTCAGTTCTGGAGGCCAGCAGGGGCACACAGAGAAGGTCTGGAAGTGCTCCGCGTCAGCGCAGGCACACCCGGGTCCCCAGTCGAGGACAATGGGGGTGATTGCCTCCAGGCTAGGCTGCTAGCTTCAGAAACCCGTAGTCGCCGTATGGCTCCTGGCCTGTCGCTGGCTCTGAGCTCCGGCCTGGACCCAGGAGTCGGACTTGCTAGCAGCCGAGGTTTGAGACAAAATCTGTCCACACCCTGAGCCTGTCTCTGGGGCCGTTCCCCTTCCTCTCTCCCAGGTCCCACACTCTCCTCTGACTCCATCCGTTCCTCCTTCAGCCTCCTCCAGCGGCCTCCTCTCCAGGATGCTGCACGGGTCCAGCACTTCTTTTGCAGTCTGGTTCCCGCGCGCCCCCTACGTGTGGCGCCCTCAGTCCCTTAGACAGCTTAGGCCTGACATGTTGCTGGGCTAGGGTGCTTCCACCCGCGGCAGGGGCGATGCACTGAGAATTGGGAACACCAGGGGAGCTGGGATGGGAGAACCCCCAGCTTCAACCGTTCGCCGCAAGCTTCTACACACAGGCACAGGCATGCACTTCTGGGGAGCGCTGGTCCGCGGGGGAATCTTCCGCAGAGGCCACGCTTTGGGTGTCACTCGCACCTCTCTTGACCCGGGGAGCAGAGGTTGCGCCTCCCCTCCAGCACAAGGGTGCAGGGCACAGTCAAAACTCGGCCCTACTCTTGCAGGCCACAGGACCCACACTCGGCGCTGTGACCTGGATGGAGTCAGTTTCCATTCCTTTAAAACCGGGCGTAGAGCGGGGATCTCTCAGCTGGCTATAAAGCTGCGCGAGCAAAGAAGAAGGGATACGATGCGTTTGCTGGCTCGCGGGAGCCTTTAGGGGTCGCTCTGCGGATTGGTGGTCCTCATCCGCAGGCACCCCGGGTCAAATCAGCAGAAACCGAGTTCCCCGGGGCCCAAGTCAACCGGCCCCCAGTAGGGGTTTTCACTCAAAGCATTCTGGTTTATCAGACTGCAGAGGGGAACGAACGCGGGCCAAGGTACCGCCAACACTCAAGAAGTCGGAAATTACTGCTTTGTGCCAAGTACATATCACCGAGGGGAGGAGGCGGGTGTGATGAGAGGAAAATTACTCCTACTTTATACATGGGAAGCCGACTCCAAGCCGTCGGTGAGCGGCTAAATCAGGATTCAAAACTGTCTATAATGCCAATCAAGCTGACTTTCTCAACCTAGCTGGTTATTCTCGTTAACCTCCGTGTTTTTCCTCGTTAAAGGTCTCCTTACTTGTTTCTGATTAATTATTCACTCTAAAAATGGCTTCTCTGAACCCAGAGAAATCCAAGAAAGCACGCAAACCTATGATGTTTTCTGTTCTGGACATTTGACAATGCAGCGAGCTCACTCAGGCCTTCGAGTTGAAACCAAACCTAGTAAAGAAGAGAGAACAGCCTTTAAAAAAATGATAATCATCAACGAACTATGTGTGGTTATACATAGAAGGGGATGTATAGCAAGGTGGCAGAAACCCACTGGCTTCAGAGACAAAATAGTGTTCTCGAGTCTGAGATGCAAAGGAATGACCCCCACGGAAAACACTTTCCCTTGGAGCTTAGCTTAGCCCGGCGAAGAAAAGAAACCAGAACTCCACGACAGGCACAGTGGAGAACGAGCGCCACCTAGCGATCACTCTTCCTGGATGCGCGACATACCCATAGGACAGGTACCTGGCTTAGGGAGAGCCCCACAGAAAAAAGTGTTAGTTCCCAATTTTATGCTGCCCCGGTCTCTCTTTGTCCAGTAGCGGAGACATTCTATTTTAAAGTGATGCGAGACACGTCAACATCCTGCTCCTTGTCAGTATTCAGTTCAGTAGTGGGTATAAGGAAGGGATTAGGGCAGAGAGAGAGGTGCTGGGCTCAATTGCCCTGGAGGCTGCTGCACCAAGGAGAAGGAGATCAGGACCTGAGCTTGCTCTTATCCACTCCCATTATTCCTCTGCGGGACCGACTGATGGGAGGGTTCAAGTACAGCTCTCCCAAAGAGATTAAGGTACATAAACCTGAGAATTTATTTGGCACCATAGAAATACCTTTTAAAATGTTTTTTTTTTCCCCTTTTGAGACAGGCTGTTGTAACCCATAACCACTATCAGTCTTAAGAATTTTATCATCTTGCAAAACCCGAAATTTTGTCCACATTAGAAGCTAACATGCCCCTCCTCCCTTCCCCATCTTCTGCCAAGAACCATTACATTTTCCCTACGAATTTGATAATAGACCAGGCTGGCTTGGAACTCACTCAAGAATGCCTCTGCCTCTCCAGGGTTAGGACTAAAGGCGTGAGCTGCCATGCCCGGCTGTATCTCTCAGCTACTCTGAGTAATGATGAAATTAATATGTATGCATAAGTTGATGATGAACATAATAGAAAGAGCTATTTGTGTATAGAAAAAACCGCACATGCATATATTTCTTTCAGATCTTGCTTCCAATTCTTCAGAATATAGACTCAGATCACCAGGTGATACTGGAACATACCTTTAATCCCAGAACTCTGGAGGCAGAGGTAGGCAGATCTCTGTGAGTTCAAGGCCAGGCTGGTCTACAAAGCGAGTTCCAGGATAGCCAGGGCTGTTACACAGAGGAACCCTGTGTTGAAAAAGCATATATTTTCAGAAATAGGAATGTTGGGATTCTATGATTATTTTATTTTTAATTTTTAAGAAACCTCAATGCCATTTTTTCAAAATGGCTACTCCATTTTACATTCCTCCCTACAGAGCATAAGTACTCTAATTTTCCTCTCCTTACCAACTTCTGCTGTTTTCTGTCTTGGTGAACGTGGCCATTCTAATGAGCAAGTAGTGGTGTGATGTTACAGTGCTTTGCATTTCTTTAAGGATGGATGATGTGTTTATTGGACACATGTATATCTTCTTGGAGAAACATCTTTCAGGTTATTTGCTTGTTCAGGAAGTGGGCTGCTACTTTGTGGCTGAATTCTTGAAGTTCTTTATACATTGCAGATATTGGTTACTTATAGGACAGGTGATTTACAAATACATTCTCCCCTCGTGTCTGCCAGTATTCTCAAATGGATTAGATGAAGTTGAAAAGTGAAAGCAATCCAAGGTGTGTTCTGGATCTGGCCTCAAGTAAGAGTAGCTCAGACTCAGAGGAGAGATGGAGAGGAAGACATTCAGTTTTAGATGTATTATATCTTACCTGCTTTTTAGAGATTCAGGCCCCA